GACGGCACTATTGATCGTTTAAAGGCTCGCCTTGTTGCTAAGGGTTTCACCCAGACCTATGGTATTAACTATACTGGAACTTTTTCCCATGTGGCTAATCTGAACTATATTCGCATAATTATCGCTCTTGCTACAAATCTTGACTGGCCTATCCATCAACTCGATGTCAAAAATGTTTTTCTACATGGCGATCTTACTGAGGCAATATACATGGCTCAACCTCCTGGGTTTGAGTCCAAGGGGGAGTGTGTTTGTCATCGAAATCTATTTATGGACTCAAACAGCCACCTCGTGCATGGTTTGATAAATTTAGCAAGGTAGTGGTTGCTTATGGCATGACTAGAAGTCAGGCTGGTAATTCGATTTTCTTTAAAAAGACAAATTGTGGCATTGTAATTTTGGTGGTCTATGTGGATGGTATCATCAGTACTGGGAGTGACAGGACAGGGATTCAGACCTTGATCCATCATTTGGGTTCGAATTTTCTCACTAAAGATTTGGGCAAGCTCCATTATTTTCTTGGTATGAGGTTGCAAGATCAAAGAAAGGCATTTGTTTATCTTAGAGAAAATATATTTTTGACATCTTAAGGGATACAGGTTATATTGGCTCTAAGCCTGCAGCAACACCCATGGAGACTAATCTGAAACTATTCCCTGATGTTGGTGACTTGGTTGATGATCCAGATATGTATAGGTGGCTTGTAGGCAAGCTGATTTACCTAACTATTACTCGACCAGATATTATTATGAGTCAATTTATGGCCAGACCACAAGTCCCTCACATGGACACGGTTATACGGATTCTTAAGTATTTCAAAGGAGCTCTAGGTCGTGGTCTTCTCTAGCAGTCGTCTGGACATCTGCGCATCGAGGGTTATACTGATTCTGATTGGGTAGGTTCACCTTCAGATAAGCGATCAACGACTGGTTACTGTACTTTTATAGGAGGCAATCTAGTCACTTGGAAAAGTAAGAAGCAGTCGGTTGTAGCGCGGTCTAGTGCTAAAGCTGAGTACCGTGCAATGGCTCATACTTCCTATGAACTAACTTGGTTGAGAACTCTATTATAAGAGTTCGGGTTTTCTGTTCAAGACATCTCTTCTCTATTGTGATAACTAGATAGCTATTCACACGGTTTTCAATGAGCGAACCAAACATATTGAAGTTGATTGCCATTTCATTCGTTCTAAGGTGACTTCCAAAGATTTTTTTTTTTTTCCTAGTTAGTACTCATACACACATGCCTCAACCGAGGCTTGAACCCTTGACCTCCCTTTGGGAAGTAGGAGTCTGATACCACTAGGCCACTGGCGTGTTGGTCCTTCCAAAGAAATTGTGACTTCATTCGTATGATTATATCGTCTGGTAATCAGTTGGCAAATATCTTTGCTAAAGCTCTTCCCAAGCATGCTATCGATTTTATCTGCAGCAAGTTGGGAGTCGTTCACATCTACTCTCCAGCTTGAGGGGGAGTGTCATGAATATAGCTCAGTGTCAACTAGACACACGATATGTCCAAATTCATTTCTTGCACTGCACTCACCAACCACCTTCACCTACCATTTTCCTTATTTTATGTTCTAAAGAACATGATATATATCTATTGTAATCATCCTTTGATATATGAAATAATATACAATCAATTTTTTCTCTCTCTAAAATTTAGCTTTCAACTTTCGTCACATAAGAATACTAGAACAGTGTCCATGACACGAAAGACAAAAACAGGTCAAATATTTTTCAGGTTGCGACTTGGACTGAACCAACTTCATAAAACTTATTACCTATATATATATATATATATATATATATATATATAAACTATCACAGACACACAAGTATATACAATCTCATATATACACTGTATATCTATATACTTGGATATGAGAGAAATTAAGATGAGAGAGAGAACTGATGAGAATACCTATAAATTTTTGATCAAGTGAAGCTCTTCAATTGTCTTCTTCAAATCTAATTTCTTCTTAATGGCACCGCCACAAACCAACACAACTTTGCCACCCAATTTCCCATCTTTCACAGTGGTTTCGAAATCTAGCACATGCTCTACATGCCCACCTCATACTTCACATCCCCATCTCTCCTTCAGTTTGGCTGATACATCGGCATCTACACACCCATTTGTTCATAAACCACAAATAGAAAGCAAACCACCCATTAAAATCTCTCTAAGAGATGACACACACACACGTGCACACACACACAGAGAAAATATGGGTGAGAGAACTAAGATGGGATACAGAAGTGAGAGAAACATGACAAATATTTTTGGGGATTTGGGTATACGTTTAACCCAGTGAATATTGGTCTTTGATTCACTAGGCTCTTTCATAGGCTAAGGGCATCGGTCTTCATTAATGGCATGAGCAGAGTCTTAGGGCTTTGATAGGCACAAAGATAAAGAAAAATAATTGTCGAGTACTAATACTACAGCAAGAGTTTTCCAATTGAGAAAGTGAACAAAATGGTGAAGGAATAATGCTCCAGCGAATTCAAAGAAAAATAATGCTCCAACAAGAGATTTTCAATGCAGAAGTGAAAAGATGTTGAAGACCTTTAAATTTGTGTATATATAGAGAGGGAAAGAAAGATGAGGATGTGTAATATAGAGAAAAGAGCTGATCAAGTTGTGTGATATATGTTTCTCTTGTATTGAACAGGTAAAGGGCATTTCCTTCCATCTAATGTTGCTAAAATAACGGTATCTAGGTAGTTTTAGATAGTTTACTATGGATAAAAATATCTTTACATGCTTGACAAGGGCGAAACTGGAATTTTAAATTTTCATTATGACGACATCAGCAAAAACCATAGTTGGCTGGTGTTGACCGTTAATAGAGTGGGGAAACTAATACAACACTATGTTTGTCAAGGAGGTTAATGCTATTTTAAAACAAGAGGGGAGGTCCTAGTAATTACAGCAAACCTCAAGGGAGGTAAGTGTCATGACCTGCCCCACCCTATGTAGATATTGTCTGTTTGCACTCTCTACGCTCACGGTTTTCAAAACGCGCCTACACAATTAAGAAGCATCCACAGATATAAGTGCCAACAACCTCTCCCTCCCAAGGGATGTGGGACATCATAGCAAGTATAGTTTACCCTATATAAAAACAAATTTTTATTTCTTAAAATAAAGGAAAAGGCATGAATATTTAGTGTGCCTAGTGTCCATTTGAGATTTGACAAATTTGACGCTTAGAAACATACAAATCAATCCCATATCTATCCAAGTCCATGTAAACTAGGCAAGAGAAATGCTAAAATATTTTATGATAAATAAATCCAAGGCAACAATACTTTGTGGGGATTAAATCTTCTGGCTCTCCTCTCTTTGGGCTTCTACTAGCAAAGTTTTGACTGTGTTTCCTTTTTGTCTAATCTTCCATGACTGGGCTTCAGTTTGTTCTTTTAAAAAGCTAGTAATGGTGAAATCATGTTTATGAAGAGTTCCTCCTAAAGAAAGGCCAAAACTCACAATCTAGGACAATTTAAAATTGTAGGTACCATAGTAGTCTTGGTAGATAACAAAGTACCCCTTTTCTTATTCTAAGCCAACTGGAAATAGGTATGTTGGTAAAAGCTGAAACCTTGAGTTTACAAGGTCTTCAAGAAGCTTATGTGTTGGCATTAACAAGTCTTCAAGGTAAAGGTGATTCCTCAGTCCTTATGCATAGGATGAGAAGATTGAACATACGGCTTTGGAAGTGCAGGAATTTCCTTCAGGAGATTTTAACTTTGCTTTAGATATATATATATATATATATATATATATATATATATATATATTGATAAGTAAAGACTGTATTAACAGCGTTGAAAAGAGGAACGCGTCCCTCAAAAGCTACACAAGGCCAAATAGGGCCTCTAAACCCTCAACGAGTCCGAAAAAATCTACAATTTCATCCATGGATTTACAATTTCTCCCTAGGACCCAACAAAAAAGGGTACTAATAATGGAGAACTTTAACGTCCCAATAGGATTCTCCTTTCCTTCGAAGGGTCTCCTATTTCTTTCAAACCATAGACACCACTAGACGCACAAAGGCGTAACCCTCCAGAAATCACAAATTTGGGTCCCGCACTGTACAACCTCTCCAAGCCTCTGCAAGACCTGGGCATAACCCACTGAACCCCAAACAAACCCCACAACAAAATCCAACAATCCCAAGCCACCTGGGCAATGCATTTACTTTGCTATATTAGTAGAGGTGAATTTCTACTGGACTCTTCAATTGGCTAATATGGAGGCAGATTCCTCAGCAGAAAGAAAGCTGCAAGGCTTCAGCAGTTCAGAGGAATTTTACCCCTCATAGTCTTGTGCCACTTTCTTTGGGGCGGTTTGTTTTATTCCAGATGTGAACTACTGTTTTTCACCTTTTATTTCTTGGCATCTCCATGGTGGACAAGTTGCTTGTCATTCTTGTACATTCACCTTTTTAATTTTTCAATAATATTATTATTTTTTACATAAAGAAGGGGTTTTATTTAGCTTCTTGATGACTTTTTTTATCAGAGGACGAGGTTCCAAAATAAAGTGTCATGGAAAATCTGGATCGACAAAGAAAAGGAACCATGATAGTTTACAACACAGATGGTTGGCCAATTAATGCTTCTGCACAGGTCCACTGAAAAAGGAAAACACTGACACTGTGATATACCCTCCCAGAACCTTTTGTGTTTTATTTTCTTGCTAGGCAGTGGTGAAGAAAGTATTCATTCCAGCATCCTTCAGAATCTAGCAGTTAAGCTCAAATGGATCTTCAGATCATCTTAGAACTCAAGAGTAAGTTAATTTCACACAACCACATACTGCTTCTACACAAAGTTGTTAAGGCTTTTCCAATCTAGAATTCGTTACAACTAGTCACTCTTAATATTCTCATAATATTCATAAAGATATAAAAATTAAAAAATAAAAAAATAAAAAAAATTAAAACAAACAAAAAGATCAATTATTTAAATGAGAAAAAGAGTTACTTGTAATAACACATGAGTGATAACCACCACAAGCAACTTCTTCGGAAAATGGCAGTTTGCTTATCATAGATGGTGTTGTCACATTGTTTGCTTCCCCAAAGCCCTATATATTTTCCAATTTGAAGATATCACTAATCAGCTAGATTGCAAGAAATGACCAAAGTTGGTCGACAATCTCTGTGTGATTATCAAAGCATTGTTAAAACATGACATACCAATTTCTCCACCGCTCTTTCCCCAAATATAAATAGAGAACCATTTCCTGCAAAATTTAGTCAAAGTCAAAGTAATAAAGCAGAAAATTAAATAAAGCCTTAAAAGTCATACCTAGGAAAATAAATCTACAACAGAAAAGATCAAAAAAACACCATCAATGCATGCAGAATGCAGCATGCCAGCAGCAACACTTTTGACCTGTATTCACATGAAAAATGGAGCCACAGGCACCAACAGTAAAATGAATCAGTTCTATTGACAAATCCTTTATGAAGCAGAAAAAAGAAATTTCTACACTCAGAGAGTACCTTGACTCCCTCAAGTTTCTTAATAAGCCTTGGTGTGTATTCACTGCATAAAAAATGTAATTAGTAATTTAGTATGAAACAAACTGTAGTTAGGATGTTATATTCTGCAAGATAAGAAAAGATAATGTGCTAAACTCCACAAGAAATTGGATTTCTGTGAAACTATAACAGAATTATACTTAAACTACCTCATGTTATGATAATATTTCAGTAAGTGAAGCAGTCAACAAATGCTTAGTGATTTTACACAAACCTTGCATTGAGAGAGAGAGAGAGAGGATGATGTTCATAAAATTGTAGAAGAAACAAATCTAGTATCAGTGATCAAAAAGCAAAAAATGGATAAAATGGCAGTATCCTACTACAATTGGAATTGATATAACTTGGAGTCCAGACAGCATCATAAGTGGAAGATAAATGGGTACATGGTACACCACAAGATCTAGAATGTGTAACAACTTACAATGGCAGTCAAATTACGTTTCTTACTTAGAATACAATATCCTTGTCTGAAATACAAAATTGGTTGCTCCTTTAATCAACAGAAGAGAAGTCCCAAAAATTAACAAATGATTTTTTTTATTTTTTTAATTCATTTCTGAAAGCATGGTAATTTTAAGTTAATATGTAAGAGTTGTTAGAAGATATAAATACTAAAGTTACACCCTCTCTAACTGCTTAATCTTTTAAAGTATATGGTTGTTGACATGGTATCAAAGTAGGCATCAAAGCAGGCAAGGTCCTGAGTACAAACCTCACCATCACCCTTATAAATATTGAAACACGCATTGTACCAGAAAAAAGCCACACGTGAGGTGGTGTGTTAGAGGATTTCAATATTAAAGCTACACCCTCTCTAACAGCTTAAGCTTTTAGAGTAGATGGTTGTTAACAAGAGCAAAAACTGATTTTGGATTTGTGAAGATCTCTTAATGGGATATAAGGTAATTGCCCTTCTTTTATGGCCCAAATTAGTTGTTCACATTTAATTATTTTTATACAGTATTATATGAGTGGTCACACGTGTACAGTTAGATTACATTGAGTATTAGGGTTGTTTGTATTCCGTAGCCACCTTCACCTACCCCTCATTACAATATATATAGAATCACCACGTATAGGGTTTTCTGTATTTTGTAGCAGCCTTCACCTACTCCTCGTTAACGTATATAGAATTACCATGTATAGGGTTTACTTGTCCTCCCCTCACCTACTCCCGTAACTTCTCCTATATAAACACCATTGTATTATTGTATTACTCACTCAATAAAATATACGTTTTCATATATTCTATTTCTCTCTCTTTCAACATGGTATCAGAGCGGAAATCGATCCCTCTTTAATTTTTTTTTTTTTTTCAGCCTTACTCATACTACGATCTTAATTCCATCTCGGCTTTCTCTCAACAATCTCTTCTCGGCGTTCTCTCCTCGGTGATCTCGGTTCTCGTCTTGGCAATCTCTCTCGGAACCCTCCACGATAATTTCTCACAGGTTCATCTCGGCTTGATCTTGGTTCTCTTATCTCGGCTTCCTCTCGCTACTATATCTCATTTGTTCAGCAGCTTTTGTTATGAATACTAAGGAATCTCATCTTCTTGGTCAATCACCAGCACCAAACTAAAAGGATCAAACTACCTTCAATAGTCTCAAGCCGTAGAGGTGTTCTTACGGGCTCGAGGAAAACTGTCCTATCTTAAATCAACCAAACCCACCAGTGATGAAAAGATTATTAAGGCTTGGGAGAAAGAAGATGCTCATATTATGACTTGGTTATAGAACAGCTTGGAGCCTGAGATCTTCAACAACGTGTCATTCCTAGAGTCTGCCAAAGATATCTGGAAAAATATTAGGGACATGTATTCTTCAGAGAAGAATATTTCTCGTATTTATCAATTGTACCATGATATTTTTAATCTCCAACAGGGAGATCGTTATGTTAAAGATTATTACTCAAAATTGAAGGGTATGTGGGAAGAATTAAATGTCTACAAACCATTGACTACAGACATAGAACAACAAAAACAGCATAGGGAGGAGTTTCGGGTGGCAAAATTTTTATCTGGACTTAAACCCGAACTCGCTCCGATCAGTTCGCAGATTTTGTTCGGCAAGGAGATACCCACAACTAGTGAGACTTCTGCTCGAGTTCGAAGAGCATCTATTCATGCCCCTGTGATTGAGAAGGACAACCAATCTGCTCTTCTTGTTCCTACTTCCTACTGAGCGACACGATACTTTCCGTGGAAGACGAGAGGGCAGAGGTCCTTCTAAACCAGGTTGTGGTACTCATGGCAGTAAAGGGGGTCGCAACAGCAAGAAGTGTATTCATTGTGGCCGAAACAATCACTCTGTTGACTTCTGTTGGGCACTTCATGGCAAGCCAGTTTGGGCTAATCAAGCTTCGGCTTCGAAGTTGACTACTCCCACTCCTGCGAATGAACAAGTTGTTCTCTCCAAAGCTAAGTATGATTCTCTAGTAAAGCGTGAGCGTGCAAATCAGCCCTCCTCCGCCGCTACTATCGTTACTTCAGGTAATACGTGTCTCCATGCTTCATCTTCTGCACATTGGATCATTGATTTAGGGGCATCCGATCACATGACAGGTAACCCATCTCTTCTTTCTGATATTTCTCATGTTTTCTCACCATCGGTTGTTACTATAAAGAATGGTGCCAAATCACTTGTTCATGGAATTGGTACCTTCCGCACTTCGGGTCTCACTTTTTCATCAGTTTTATAAATCCCTTAATTTTCATTCAATTTATAATTGAATGAAAATTATAAAATAACTTTTGATCACGTGCATCGCACGTTGTTTTTACTAGTAACTATAAATGACAATTAACTTAAAATTGATCATTTTTTAATTGAATTTTCAGGACCACTCCTAGCTAGCATTGTGCCTTAATAATTCAAATGCATGTTCCAAAACAGTTTTAGCCAGATGCAGTTTTGGTTGTTGCTTACCTTTTAAACCACATGCCTTATAGGGTCCTTCAAGGAAAATCACCCTTCCAAATGATGTTTTCTGACAAAAACCCTTTTTCCATTCCTCCAAAGGTGTTTGGGTGTGTCTGTTTTATTTATAATCTAAACCCGGGACGAGACAAACTTGATCCTCGTGCTCACAAATGTATTTTCTTAGGTTATTCTCGCACTCAAAAGGGATATAAATGTTACAGTACAACTCTTCGTAAACAATTTGTGTGCAGATGTAACTTTGTTTGAGAATGTTCCTTATTATTCCCAGGAAGGCAGTCGTTTGGAGGACTCTGTTCTTCAAGACTCTGTTCTTCCAACTCCAATTTTTTTTTTTCTTTTTTTTTTTGACATCCCACCAGCTCTTCGTGTCTATGCTCGTTGATGGAAAAGAGTAGTTAATCATATTCCAACGACTGAAGAAGTAAGCCCAGCCTTGCCACTTCCACCAGTCACTTCAACGCCTGGAGATTCTTCCATCTCTCCGGACTATGATCTTGATCAACCTATTGTTGTTCGGAAAGGTAAACGTTCTTTTACCAATCACCTTATCCCCAATTTTGTATCATATAATAAATTATACTCCTCCTTTTAATCTTTTTCTGTCATTTTTTTTTTTTTTTTTTTTTTTTTTTGATAATTAAGCAAATTCATTCAAAAAACCTTCAAAAGGGGAACATGTCCCAGAAACAACAAAGGGATCCTATGATCCTATGACAAGCTTTTTCTTTGTCATTATCCTCTATTGCTCTTTCTAAGTCCTACAAGGAGGCACTTTCTCATCCACAATGGAGGAAAGCTATGGAAGAAGAAATAAACGCTTTAAAATTGAATCATACTTGGGACCTTGTTACTTTATTGTCGTTGGGATTTCACTATTACACAGAAGCCTGATCGTACAGTTGACCGTCTTAAAGCTCGACTTGTTGCTGAAGGCTACACTCAGACTTATGGCCTTGATTATATTGAGATGTTCTCTCCTGCAGCCAAACTAAATTCATTTCGTGTGGTAATCTCTCTTACAACTAATCTAGACTGGCCACTTCATCAACTTGAAGTTAAAAATGCCTTTCTGCACGGTGACCTTACTGAGACAATCTACATGGCTCAACCACCTGGGTTTGAGTCTAAGATGGGAGTGTGTGTGTCATCTCAAGAAGTCTATCTATGGCCTCAAACAGTCCCCTCGTGCATGGTTTGATAAGTTCAGTAAAGCTGTGGTAGCTCATGCTATGACCAAAAGCCAGGCTGATCACTCTCTCCTTTTTAAGAACACGAAACGTGGTATTGTAATTATTGTGGTGTATGTAGATAATATCGTTATCACCGGCACTGATAGAGATGGGATACAAGTTCTAATCCATCACTTGAGTTCTAGCTCACTAAGGATTTAGGCAAACTTCGGTATTTTCTAGGAATTAAGGTGGCTCCATCGAAGCAAGGCATAGTCTTTCTCAGCGGAAGTATACTCTTGATCTCTTACAGGATACTGGATATCTTGGTTTGAAACTTGTAGCTACACACATAAAGACTAATGTAAAACTTAAGGTGGATGATGGTGACCCACTCGATGATCCGGAGATGTATCGGAGACTTGTAGGTAAGCTTATTTACCTCACAATCACTCATCCAGACATCTCCTATGCAGTCAGTGTTGTGACCCAGTTCATGACTAGTTCTCGAGTACCTCACATGGAGGCAGTTGTACACATCATGGAGGCAGTTGTACGCATCATGAAGTATCTCAAGGGTGCTCCGAGAAGTGGTCTGCTTTATTGATCTTCTGAACATCTTCGGATTGAGGGATACACAAATGCAAATTGGGTTGGTTCTCTTTCTGATAGACGGTCCACCACGGGTTACTGCACCTTCATAGGAGGAAATTTAGTAACTTAGAGGAGTAATAAACAGTCAGTTGTGGCTCGTTCCAGTGCTGAAGCAGAGTATCATGCCATGGCACACACTGCATGTGAACTTACATGGTTGAAAACTATTTTACAGGAACTTGGGATTTCAGTCCACCATTGTGACAATCAGGAAACTACATATTACTAGCAATCTAGTCTAGCATGAGAGGACCAAACACATTGAAGTAGATTGCCATTTCATTCGATCTAAAGTTGACTCGAATGAGATCGTTACACCTTTTGTTCCTTCTGGTAGACAGGTGGCAGACATCTTCACTAAGGCGCTTCCCAAGAACTCGATTCCATATGTAACAAGCTAGGAGTTATTGACATTTACTCTCCAGCTTGAGGGGGAGTGTTGTACAGTATTGTATGCATTGTCACACGTGTACAGTTAGATTACATTGTATATTAGGGTTTTCTGTATTTTTGTAGCCGCCTTCACCTACCCCTCATTACCATATATAGAATTACCATGTATAGGGTTTACTTGTTCTCCACTCAACTACTCCCGCAGCTTCTCCTATATAAACACCATTGTATTATTGTATTACTCACTCAATAATATATACGTTTTCATATATTCTATTTTTCTCTCTCTTTCAACAATTATCAACTATTTACAGTGCCATACGCAAAGGATATCTAAGGAGTGAATTAAGAGGAAACTTCCAGTGTGAGTAAATTTAATTTTCAATATGGAGTCTATCAAACAGATTGCACAATATGTAGCTAGGTTATGATAAGTTCATCTTAGTTGGGAACCCTCATCAGGAGGCTTTCCATATCCTGAATGACTAAACCATGACAAAAGTAACTATCATACGTAGAGTTCAATATACATTCTAAGTACAAGTATTTAGATACCCCTTGATTTGTTATAAATAAGAGTTGACACACTTCTCCTAACTTATATAAGAGAAATAATGGCTGAAAATGTGGAGGATAGGCACATAATACTATATCCTACTTCGCTCAAATTCAAATTAAAAAAATGTGTTCCTGCAGAAGTAAAACAATCAAATAGAACCTGGTAGTTCTTAAAATCCCCAAAAGGCTTGATTCAAGTTCATGACCAAGTCTTCCTGACCCTCCTCCACCCCAACTTAAGGCCTCACCTCTTTCTGGCAAAAAAAGAATATATATATATTAACAACCAATATAGCAAAATAAGGGTCATACCCCTAGCATTAGTAACAAAAAGCCCTTGCAAGTAGTCAAAACTAAAACAGTTATAAGAAAAACAACAAGACAGATATATGGAGGCAAGTGGTATTTCAATTTAAAACCTGTAACAGCAATAGAGTGTTCACAACCCAAAGCAACTGTTTTGATGGTGACCCCATCCAAGCATTCAACTTTACTTGGCGTAGGAACTACTTTTGCTGCTCCTGTGAATTAGTACAAAACAAAAATAAACCCAAGGTCAGCCACAGAGATGATATTATTAGCAACAAAACCAATGTTTTCATGCAATAAACAATCTGATGATATACAATGTAGGGATTCCATAGACTATTTTACAACAAAAATAAATAAAATTGAATAACTATTCTGTTCCCAGATTTGAGGAATAAGTCAAAAAGATGACATCACTAATAAAAATCATGTTATAGTGATAAGGTAAGGACTGAAACTCTACACTCTGATAGAGAGTATGCGCAAGGATTGTGATCTAGACCTAGAGGGGGTGAATAGGTCCTAATGACTTTTAACTAATTTAACTACTTTCTAAAATTCTAACTTAATTACTAACAAATTAAAGTTTAAACTAACCCATTATATCAAAAATGAATTAATCAATCAACACATCATGGCAATATTATCAAACATTCAATCATAAGCAATGTAACGAAAAGTTACAGCAAACACAATAACTAGGGTGATACTATTTATTATCAATGTCAGCAACTTTTCAGCAAGGAAAAGGGTTCCGGTGAGGAAGGCTGGGTTTTCTCTGATTATGTAGGAGGTACAGACCTCCTCCAAAGGCAGCTGGTATGACCCATGCAGCCTCTTTACCGGGAACCTCTTGGCATAGTCTTTTTTATGAAGGAACACAACAATGCTTGGAGAACTCGACGTTTATCAAGGAGAGCAAAAACAAGGAAATGATACACATTTCAGATGAAGATGTGGATAGGAAGTTGAGTGCGAGCGTCATTCAATTTTTGGATATTTTCTGGACAAAAGGTATTATTATCGTTCAAACAGGGAATGCATCCCAAAAAGAACTACACAAGAACAAAAAAAAAGCCACTAAACTCTCAAAGAGGACAAAAAATCAACTATCTCCGCCATGGATTTACAATTTCTCCCCAAAACCCAACATAAAATAGTGCAAAAAATACAGAATTTAAGTGCACCAATCGGAGTCATTGCCATAAAAGGATCTCCTATTCCTTTCTGTCCACAAACAACACCAAACACACAAAGGTGTTACCCTCCAAAAGTCTTCTGAATAGGGTTTGGTGAATGCGGGAAAGTTCAAGCTGCTTTCATTGCCGAAGGGCTTCTTTTAATGTCAGATTAGAGAACCAGGAAGATGTTGATACCATTCCTAGAAGAGTTCATGCATACCAAGGTTGGCCAATGATCCGGTTCATTACCCTTCTATGACACAATGCATTTTAAAATTGTGACAGCCGTGAACCTATCAAAACTCCGGAGTTAAGTGTGCTTAACCTGGAATAGTACCAGAATGGGTGACCTCCTGGAAAGTCTCTGGTTTGGGGGAGCCAAAAGCAGACTATATTGCGTCGGGTAGGGTGAGGGCCGTTACAAATGGTATCAAAGCCTGACCAGTCGGAAGTGTGCCGACGGGGACATCGGGCTCCCAAGGGGTGTGGAATTGTGAGGCTCGGTGGGCGAGTGCAAACATGTGAGAGGCAAGGCTCTGGTGCTAGCTACGTGTGCTCACAATTCCCACATCACCTAGTTGTGGAAGAATAAAGTGTTATATGTAGATTCATTACCCTTATATGACACAATGCGTTTTAAAGCCGTGATGTCCGTGAATCTATCAGAACTCCGAAGTTAGGCATGCTTAACCTGGAGTAGTACCAGGATGGGTGACTGAGAAGTCCCTAGTTTAGGGGCAAAAGCGGACAATATTGTGTTGGGCATGGTGAGGGCCGTTATAGGTTATGTTCCTATTTGGATTCAAATCATTGATCTTCCAATCCATTGTAGGAATGCCCTGACTATTTCGAAGGTATGCTCTAAATTCACTTAGCCTCATTACTTAATATCACAGGAGTGAGGGAGCTTTGAAAAAGCTATGAGGTTGATGTCCACAAAGAACTCCTAGAATCAATTCTTATAAACGTGAATGGGAAGACTTGTGAGGTGAGTGATTGGAAGAAATTTCATGCAATTGATCACGCTAAGGCTAAATGTCCTCTGAATGTGCGGAAGAAGAAGACAACCACTGAATGGGTTGTCAAGCAGGAGGAGAAACTAGTGTAAATCAATGCTATGTTCTGAGCTTAAGGAATGCAAATTCAAATGCAAAACTAGTTTAGAGATTCTCAAAGTTAGTTAGTGTTTGTTAACTCCCAAGGCCGACGGAGGAAAACAATGCTTGAACAGTATTTGTTAACTCCCAAGGCTGACAAAGGAAATCAATGTTATGTTCAAGCCTTCAAGGGTAATTTGGTTATCAATTGACAGGGTAAGGATCGAATCCCTAGACTCGGGTCCATGATCTAGACCTAAAGGGGGTCTGGGGGTGAAGAGGTTTTGATAATAGTTAAACTAATCTCACTGCTTAATAAAATTCTGACTGAATTAACCAATAAATTAAAGTTTAAACCAACCAAGTATATCAAAATCAACCTATCAATCACTCCATCATGTCAATATCATGAAACATTCAATCATAGGCAGTATAAAGTAAACTAAAAGTAAGCACAATGAACATGAGATTTTTAAGCGGAAAAACCACAAGAAAAAATATACGGGACATGGTAAAATCAGATCAAATCCACTATAAGAAAGAGATATTACACTTAGTTAACAGATCAAATACCCCAGAACCCCTACTTAGCTCTTTACACTGACTTATCCACCAAACTCATACTCAGAGTCTTCAGGCACACAATCCGCTCCGTCAACAAATTTCACTCCTCAAGTAATTCGCTACTTCAATAGTACTTCACTCAACTGGTCCAGTTTCCAAACAATCTCAGATGGTTCAAAAGTTGGTGTTGATCTTCAATTTTGCTCAGCAACATTAAGTTGTCAACACTCATTTATAAAACTCACCAATCTAATGAAAAATGATGAATGGAAGTAAAATATGCAAGCGCTCTAATCTCAAAATAATGCTCTATAAATCTCTCAACTATATCTCTTAGGCTTTCTAAGATGGTAAGGAATTCATAAACAATAAAGGGTAGAACTGTAGAAGAGATATTGGGTTTTACAGTTTCAGTTTGAAAAGGAACTGGTTTTTAGTCATTTTTATGGTTGATTGATCGAAATGCATCCAATGCCCTTTGATTGTCCATCAATCAATCGAAGTGCCCCAACAGGATCGTTTACAATTCATTCACATTAATCCTTAATTATACAATCTAAATAAATCCATGGATAATCATTTACAATTGAGACAAATCAACAAAATTCAAAACAACATTTTCTTTACTAGAAATAGGAAGGAGAGCCCAGAATTGATTAGTTAGTACAGGAAAATATCGTTAAGATGGGGATGGATATCCTATGTATGGGTAAATAAAAAATTCAAGATATTGTAGTTATATCTATTTCACAACCATTAAGGCAATCCAAAATATCAGCGAGGGAAAAATCAATAAAACTATATAGTCACCTATAAAGCAATTTATATGAGGTACAGGCAAAGTTACTTTTTCCAAGGCCAAGCTGCCCACTCGAGTTCTTCCCCCACATATAGAGTTCCCCGTCCACTACAAGAAAAAGCACTTATTATTATAAGGTTAGTGAAGTGAAAATACAAACATTCCCAAAGGCATAATGAAACAATTATTACATAAATAATAAAATATAAAAAGAAGAACAAGAACAAGACCACAAGTTAGCACTTGAAAAAGATGATAAACCTAAAAGACATCAATCATTTTGATACCCGACCCCAAAGAAAAAATACAACAAATATATATATATATATATATGTCTATAAATTATTAATGCTACATACTTGAAAATATGAGATTTATAGAAAGAAGTTGATAGTGACTACTGTTAACTATAGTAAAGCATAAAACGGAAGCAACTATACAAATAAACACAAGATATTACATGATTCAGCCACTAGGGCCTACATCCACGGCATAAAGAGCCCAAAGGGCTACATCACTTTTATAATACTCTCTCAATTCATATACAATACAATGGTGGAGGCTCCTTTATATAGGAGAAGAAATAATGAGAATGGAAAGAATTAGAAACTAGGAAACAAGGAGGATTTTTCTCCACTGATTCCTCTAGTAACACCAAATCTTTAATAATAGGAAACAATATCAATTACTGAAAGATTTTCCTCCACTGATTCCTCCATTAAATCGTCAATACTCCACCTCAAGTTGGAGCATGAATGCCCAACTTGCCATTGTGATGAACATGAATGCCCAATTTCATCATTGTGTGAATGATGAAGAAAGAAGAGAGAAGACGAAAAAAAATGCTACTAAACACACCAACAGCCCAAACAAGTTAATAAAACTGCCGAAGACACGGCAAAAGCGAAGAACATTACTGCCAAACAAACTGGCAGCCCAAATAAGTCACAAATAGCACTGAGAATCCCTTAGCAACAGCTCAGATGCTAAGGGAATACCCCAAAATAGGGGTCTAACCCTAGGAAGAGAAATTAAGCTCTAATACCGTGTTATAAAGCATAAAACGGAAGCGAATAGATAAATAAACACATAGATATTACGTGGTTCGGCCACTAGGGCCTACATCTACGACACAAAGAGCCCAAAGGGCTACATCACTTTTATAATACTCTCTCAATTCATACATAATACAATGATGGAGACTCCTTTATATAGGAGAAGAAATTATGAGAATGGAAAGTATTAGAAAATAGGAAACAAGGATGATTTTTCTCCACTGATTTCTTTAGTAACACCAAATCTTCAATAATAGGAAACAACATCAATTACTGAAAGATTTTCCTCCACTGATTCCTCTATTAAATCATCAATACTGATAAACAGAAAAAAGAAATTCTAATTAGATAATTTTCACACAGATCGACTCTTACGATATGTCAAAAAACCCACATTGTGTTCTCAAAGTGATGGAAGGGCCATTTGTAGAACACTACTAACTTTTAAAAACAAAAATCTACATTTTAATTCTATACACACACCACATCATTTTCTAATGAACATCATATAAGAATGAGAGGAAGCATGCCCTCTGTTAAGTTGTGGCCCGAATTTTGTTTTGGCCAGGGTCACAATGCAACCCTGTTTTGACCAAGTCATTTTTTACCAGTTTTTCTCTAGCGGCTCATGGACCCTTTTAGTTCTATCATGTAACCCGGTATATAATGGTGTTTTGAGTGGGATAACGAAAGCACACTGAAAATCGAAGGAAAGAGAGTGAGAAAGAGAGAGCTAAGGTTTGGGGGTTGAAACTTGTAATCTCCTGTTTTTCTCATAGTGAAATCTTTTGATGGATCTTCATTGTGGACATAGGCTTTGCCAGACCACGTAAACCTTTGTGTTCTTTGTGTCTGGCATGTTTACTTTTGTGTTGTGATTCTTGATTTCTTCTTGGTTCACGGTGTTTGTCATAACACCCTCCTATGATAGTAGGCCACAAAATATTAAGAGATGTAACAAATAAGTAAATACACCAAGGTGAAAGAGGTATAATTGTTAAAATAGACTTAAAATCACTGAGCTTTCAGAGGCAGAAAACTGCACACATTTTAAACCACTGGTATAAAGATCATTTTACACTACAAAGCGAAAGAATTTAGGTACAAATTTATATAATATCGGATTTACCGACTTCCATCCATACGAAGCATTCATCATTTGGATTGTAGTTCAACACATTATATTTCACAGAAACAAAATAAAAATAAATGAACATCTAGTGAGGTATCAACTACTAACCTGTAATAGCCGATGAGTGATGATAACCAGCTGAAATTTTTATAATTTCTTTGGGAAGTCCAGAAACTTCAAGTGGCTCCTGTAAAAGCAATACAAGAGGCTAATAAAATAATCTAAGCTGGAACTCCAACTTCAATGTAGAAAATGGCCATGTAGGTAAGTATACATAGGTAATTACAATGATAGTATCGCATTGTGAGTTAAAACAAAATCAGCTTTAAAGAGCAGTACAAAGAATTTTGACCAAAATTAATTGGTACAAACAGAACACACAGCACAATTCCCCAGAGACAACTTACATCACAGAGTTATCTATTAACACCATGACAAATGCAAACCAACATAACTTAAAGCCTGGACAGAAAGGAGTTGTGGCCTTTGTGAAAATCTTATCATTTAGGTATTTTTATTTATAATCTGATTGAATCTAAGTCTCTAAGATAGGGAAACTGGTTTACGTGGGATCAAATGGCTGATCATGTGCTTCACCTTTGGAGGCTCAAGCGTAGATACATCCTTCATGCATTAGTTCCGGTTGGAGATGTTCAGGATATCTCATCTTTAGCGGCAATCCTTGGGTGTAGGGTGAGTTCTTTTCCAATTCCGTATTTGGGTTTGCCTTTAGGGGTTTCCTCTAGAACGGTGGGGAGTTGGGACCCTGTGATTGATAGGTATGCGAAGAGATGGAAAAAGCAATACTTGTCCAAGGGGGGGGAAGTTACGCTTATAAAGAGCACTTTATCGAGCCTTCCCACATATTTTATATCTATGTTCCAAATTCCAAGCACTGTTGCTACTAGGATTGAAAAAATTCAAAGGGATTTCCTTTGGGGTGGAAAAGGAGACGAATTTAAGTATCACCTTGTCAATTGGGAACAAGTCTGCAAGGCAATGAAGTTTGGTGGTCTTGGTTTCAGAAGACTGGTCCCCTTTAACCAAGCTCTTCTGGGAAAATGGCTGTGGAGGTACGGGAGGGAAAGACATCGCCCTTGGCGAAGGCTTATCTCATGCCGTTATGGGGAAGAGAGTGGTGGTTGGTCTACTCGTCCGATTTCTCTCGTGGGAGGAGTTGGGGCGTGGAAATTCATTAGGAAGGGATGGGACGCTTTTTCTACTCATATCAGATTTAAAGTTCGTGATGGCAGATGTGTATGCTTTTGGGAGGATCTTTGGTGTGGAGACAGGCCTTTATCTTGTTTATTTCCTAGGTTATACAGTATTGCAGTTTATAAATATGCCTATGTAGCCAACTGTTATCAGCTTAATAGCAGTGGGATTACGTGGGACGTGCACTTTCGACACTCTTTTCAGGATTGGGAGGTGCACAAGGTATGTATTTTTCTGGATTTGCTGTATTGACAGGAGGTAGTTGGCAGAGGTAGTGACGACATGACATGGATTCCCTCTTCCCATGGTCGCTTCGAAGTTCGATCCTTATTATTATGTCTTTCTGATTTTGATATCGTTGATTTTCCGTGGAAGACTATCTGGCGTTCTATGGCTCTAACTAGGGTGGCATTCTTTGTTTGGACCGCTATATGGAGTAAGATCCTAACGATTGATAATTTAAGGAAAGGGGCAATTGTCTCGTTAACTGGTGTTGCCTTTGCAAACAAGATGGTGAGTCAGTTGCTCACATTCTCATGCATTATCCTATGGCGAGTGATTGTTAGAATCTTATCTTTTGTCTGTTTAGTATGCGTTGGGTTATGCCTCGTTATCCTAAGGATTTGATTCGTATTTGGAGAGGATGCCGTGTGAGTAGCGTTGTTCGCGATTATTGGAGAGTTGTACCACATTGTGTCTGGTGGTGCATTTGGAAGGAGAGGAATAGTAGAATGTTCGAAGGGAAAGAATCGTCCACTGCGATTCTGAAACTTCACATCATACGCTCTCTTTTCAGTTATGTGAAGAGGAAATCTTGTTCTTCTCCTGAAGATTTAATTATTTTTTTGGCTTCTTTAGGGCCTTAAACTCCAGTTCCACTCTTGTTTAAAGGATGTGTTCCCCTCTTAAACGCCTTTTTATTTCAATTATTACTTATCAAAAATAATAATAATAAGTGGCTTTCAAGAAATATATGAAGTGAAAAAATGACTACCAATCAAATAATAGATCTTCACTAGAAATTTGGTCTCACTGTGATTTTCACAACTACAATAAAATAAACATTTTAAAATATTTTAAAAATTAAAATTCCTATTTATAAGCATTGAGGGAAAATAGTTCCATTCACCAAACCTGAAAATAGTTCCATTCACCAAACCTCATAAAACCAAGTTAGCTAATGTGTGATGCTCTTGTTTAAACAACATCATTATTACCCAGCATCAATCCTACCTACGAGGAGTGCCAGGAGGGATGGACTGCGTTATATCTTTGGCATTTTTTAACACGAAGTGACTACTCTTGACTAAAAACCAACATTCTCACACCTGATAGCCTGAGCTTTTACCATTGTATGTAACACTCTTCTGCTATCAGCTAAATTTATATTAAAGTCGTATTATTCAACAAAAAGTTGTTAAAATTTTCAACTTTGGATTGACCTTTAGTCACTCAGGAACAGAATTAGACTCGCATCCAGGATTAATGTGACCAACACTGGGCAACGGTCACTCTAATTAGACATTATTGGAAGTTTGTGGTCTGGATCATGCTCAATTTTCAGAATACAAAAGAAAATTTTGTGACATTAGGAAGAATTGGTCTATAATGCGTCCATGTTTTCATAAATGACATAGACTCGTCAGTATTACAACTTCCCAATAAATAAAAATAGAACCTACATAAAAACAGAGCGCAAGGACCGGGACAACACAAATAACTTCCTGTATTTACTTTTCCCATTATTGTTCAACTGAATCAAATATATACACCATCATCTGCACCTCTCAGCATATGAAAAGGCAATCCTTTTAGGTATACTCACAAGTCACAACAAAAGGTTGGAGGGACAACTTTACTCATAATTTTATCAAATGGGACACAGGTGTGTACTATGTAAAATCATGGTTTATACATGTGTTCATATAGCCACGAAGGGAAGAAAATGTCATACAAATTTTCAAATTCGAATATAATAACCAAAAGTAATAATAAAGCAGAAAGTATCCAGAAAGAAAGGCAAAAAAAGATGACCAGTCAAAAAAAGCATTCGGCACATAATCGGTCCTTAAAATAGAACATCAAACCCTAAAGAATTTGTGATGTTGTGGCCCGAATTTGGGGCCGGGTGGGAAAATTTTGACCCATTTTTTGCTCATGGGTCGTGGACCCTAATTAGTCTCTTGTAGCCCAATATATAAGGGCGCTTAGGATTTGGAGTGGTGGAAGGGAGAGACCCTGAAATTTGTACAGAAACAGAGTGAGGGGCTGAAAGCTTGTAATCTCCAATTTCACACACAGTGAAGACTTTCACCGGATCTCAACCATGGACGTAGGTTGTTGCCGAACCACGTATAAATCTTTGTGTTCTTTGTGTGGTGTGTTTACTTTTCTGTCGTGATTCTTGATTTTATCTTGGGTTCGTTGCGTTTGTCATAACAGAATTTGGTCCCCGAAATGACTATCTCTATGTAGCAACCAATTCAATAGTTCCAAATGCAAAGCAAATCACCTATTTACACAATAAATAAGAAAAGCACGAGATTTAAAAAACACACACACACAGAAAGAAAAATATAAAAACAATAATAAGGGAAACCATGATGCTGAAAAACTCAACAAATATGTCATTGTGCAACTAGAGAAGCAAAAGATAGAAAGAATGACAACAATACAATAAGGTCGAGATAGCATACAGTTGTGTAACTTTTATCGACTGATACGCCTAGCTGTCCAAAATCATTGAGACCAGTGGCATAAACACAGCCAGTTTCTGTAAAACAGAAGGACAAATTTATGAGCATTTTCAATGCAGCTGATATTTTCAAAACTCATCAAGAATTTAAAAGATTAGAGCTACAAATCCAAAGCTAAAGAATAGGTTTTAGGAGGTTATTAGAAGATGCCAAAAGTATGGAAACAACATATAGTTCATCATATAAACAAAAATGCATATTCATGGTACTATATTAGCAAGGATCATCAAAAACAAAAACAAAAAACTTCTTATATATATATTTCAGATTCAAGCTTAAAAAGTTAATTTAAGTAATAAAGCCATATTCTTCAGGAGATATCACCCATGAAATGTGTCCAAAAGTATGACAAATTATAGCCACGTCTATTCTTGACCACATGCTGATTGAAGAAAGTAATATAGAGCATAGCACACTCTATTTGGCACATACTGCATAGCTACATGATAAAGACACAAGCTTTTTGGAGAGAAAAGAAACATATTCAAAAATTAGTAACCATTTATTCAATAATATAGGTTTTAATAATAAAATTTCTGATCTACACAATTACAGGGGACACTAAAGAAGCCATCTTGGCAATCCCAACAATCCAGGACACTAGGACGAGCATACAAGGTACACGCTTAACCTCTGCATTCTATGACAATAAGTGGCTGTCAAAGAGTCCAACCGCATCCTTGCCAACCCAAGCTTTTACCATTGTACCAACAAAACATAAAACTTTGAAAAGTTCAACCATTTATTAAATCTCACATTAAATATGTTAGATCATTAGGACTTGGTATCGGCAAATTTCATAACAGAAGCTAAAAAAAATTGTACTTTAAATTTTATTTTGTTTACTTTTGAATTTTAGTCAAGATAGTTACGGTTATATGTTACGTCATGATCCAAGGACTTTGAAGATGATTTGAAGACTGTAACAAGGAAGAAAAGGTAAATTCACACTCTCAAATACCTAACTCACCATTTAAATTTCATTTTAAGCATTCAAACCATTTATCATCGTTAGAATGCATGCATACATTATTAAATTCTTTAAATAATTTTTAAGATTTAAAATTGTGTTTTTAATTATTATCAAAAAAAAAATTGTGTTTTTAATGAATTAGGGTTTTGATCGATCAATCCATTATCATTCCATTCTATGTAACCCGACCAATCAAACCATACTGAAAATCAATCAAACAATCAAGTGGATCAATAGAACCTACGAAATACAGTTTCCTAATTGGTTTTAAACACTAAAACCCCAATTGTCTCTTATTTGAAGGCTATATAAACACCCTTATGTGTTAAAAAAACAATATAAAAGAGCATACTCTGTACTTAGAGTGCATATAGAAAATATAGATCAGCTTTTCTTTATTTTTCATCATCTAGGCATATTGCATTAGATGGTGAGTTATACCGGCAAGTGTTGATTAATCATAACTACAAAGGAGATCAAAACCCAAAACCACACAAACAAAGATCAATTAGGTTAGAAAACGAGCAGAAAAGATCAATCACAAAAGAAATGGATCGCACGATGAATGATTCATAGATCAACAACAATAGAGTTTGAGGACTGGATCTGAGATAACCTAGGTGATTCTACGGGTTTAGAATCTGAGAACTAGGTGTGTGTAGTGATATAATATATATATATATATATATATATATATATATATATGTTGGGTGTTATTTTAAGGTGGTGGGGTCCACCCAACAGCAAAACGAAATAAAAAAAGATTTGAATGACTGCGCTGGTGGTGTAAAAAAAAAAAAGTGTAATGATCGCGTGAGAAAAAGAAGGTGTGCAATGTGTGAAGTGTGTGTATGCACATCGCAGAAAAAGAAATGTATGTGCGAGCACATTAAATGTCCTATAAACAAAGCATACACTGAAAGCTAAGGTGGTGAAACTCAGCTATAAATATGTGTTGAGTAACTGGAGAGTTGCGTTGTGTGTGTGTGTGTGTGTGTGTTGGGGGGGGGGGGGGGGGGGGGGGGGGGTGGGGTGGTTTGAGACATCAGTGAGTGTGTGAGGGCCAAGGAGTATTCCTTTGAGAAGAGTTTTTTTTTTTTTTTTTTTTTTTTTTGAGTAAGTGTAGAATACCTCTTAGTAATTTTCTGAGATCTGTAATCTCGTAGTTTGAATAAAAGTAAGTCAATCTTTCAATCTGCCAAACCACGTAAATTTTGCTCTGTTTTATGTGTGTTATTTCCAACTTATTTTTCTTTGTTGCTATTGCATATTTGTTTTGACAGATCTTGGGAGATTTATTCCCAACAATTGGTATCAAAGCCATAGTGGCAACTACTCCAGATGTGAAGTAGACGGTCAATAATTTAGCAAAAAGTAGAGATAAATCAACTAAAGACAGGCAATTAGATGTATTAAGGATGTAGAACATAAAATATTAGTAAAAGATAAAGACATATTAGATAGATGAATAAAATTACTTTCAACACCTTCTTATTGAGAAGTACCCTAGAGAAGAGGTGGAAAGTAATGAATTTAATACAGGAATGGTATATAAAATTAACAATAAGGAAGTAGAAGACACACTTGAAATGATAGGAAGGAATAAAGAGGTTGAACCGGATAACATACCCATATAAGCATGGAGAATGTTAGCAAAATTAGGTGCCTAACAAATTTATTTAAACAAAATTCTAAAAGAAGGAATAATGCCAAATAAGTGAAAGGAAAAGCACTATAGTACCTATTTACAAAAACAAAGGGGATATACAAAATTGCAACAATTATCAAGGAATTAAATTAATGAGTTATACAATGAAACTATGGCAAATGATGATAGAGCAAAGAGTCAAAGATTAAGAAAGGAAATCTCGGTGTCTAATAACCAATTTGAAATTATGCCAGTGAGATCCACAATAAAGGCTATTTACTTAATAAGTCAGATAGTTGAAGAGTGTATGCATAAGCAAAAAATCTACATATGGTCTTTATGGACTCAGGAAAAAACATATGATAGGGTGCTGAGAGATGAAAACAAATTCCTATAGATTTTTTTTTGCTTTGTTCACAACAAGATATATTCACAAAAAAATTTGTTGTTTAATATAGATATACGTTTTTTTTTTTTATATATAGATGTACTTTTATATATTTAAAATTGATATGATGAGAATCTTTATGTCATGGTATTTTATATTTGAACAATTGTTATTTTTTTTTAGGAATCTAGTTTTTGTCTACAATGCTGACTGCTGCATAATTTTTTCTGCGCTCAATAACTTTCTTTTTTCCCAGTAAATGCACTCAATAATTCTTGTTGTGAATATATGATATATCATGTTCAGGATTTATAATAACCGTGGTAGGTGTTAATTATTTGCAATGCCATATTAGATTTTTGAAGTTAGATATCGCCAAGGCATATGATAAAGTTTACATGTTCTAAGCAACTTGATTCTTGCTTGAGTTAGACCCACGCGCCTTGTACCTTACGGCTAAACTCCAGGAGACCTTTGGTACCTTAGTTCACCTTGAGCCTTTAACAACTATAAGATTAACAAAGCTGCAAAAAAAAAAAAAAAAAAATCCCTTAGTGCATTGATAGTCTATTAAATATTATTGGACTGTTAATGAATATTTAAATAATTTGAACCTTTAACCTCAGATTAGGAACATGTCTGTTTACTTACTGGCTTGTCTAGCTCATTACATGCCTTGACAAAATTGGTAACAGCATTTTCATTACTGTTGTTGTCATTTCATTTACATCATTTCTTGTATATAGCTATGGGATTTTGCGAACGCGATGGAGATGTAATAAGGCTATTTAGGAAGCCATTTTCTCTACTTGGTTCTATTATTGATTGTGGAGTTGATTATTGAGAAAATTTGTTTTGGAAATTTTGAAATAGAAAAAAAAAAAAATCATGATCATTAGATTTGGAATGGTGTATGGTGGATTCTCATATTCACGTGCACTTTTATGAATTTTGCCACGTGGAGTAAGGGGGGTGACAGCTGTGTTTAAATTGTTTTGTAGATTGTCTTTGCAGGTGTATCATGTGTGCAGTTGAGAGGATTCTGAGAGTTTGAAACCGGTGTGTCTGAGCTAATTTGTGGATGGGTGAATGTTAAAGAATATGAGATATTTTGAAGGAGCAGTAGTTGAAGCATCAAATCCTGCTAGTGCATGAGTAGGAAAAAAAGAAAAAGAAAACGTGCAGGAAATTCCTAGCCATTATTAAATTTTTGTTGCAATATTCACTTGTCTTGCTCAAGTATTTCGAGCTTGTAGATAGTGTTGTGCTTATGGTTTCTGTGCCATGGCAGCTTCATATGAGGGAATAGCCTAACTTCATGGAAAACTTTTGCTAATGCATGTTCCATTTATTTCTTGGAGATAAAAATTAATCAACCAACTCATTTGTTTGATACATAAAATTACAAATGATTAGCCTGAAGCAACCAAAAACTAGTCAATTTGATCAGCATTTCCAATAGATTTCAATCAATAAAAACAATAATCAAGCAACCAATGTATTGGCTTCCAATTCAACCCACAAAACAATAAATTCAATTTGCATATCCAAAAAACCTAAACAAAATTAAAACAAAGCAGCAGCAACTCAAAAGAAACCTGTTAAGAAGAGGGTGTGAGCTCCACCACAAGCAATGTCGCGAAGGGTTTGGTCATCGAACGCAGAGCAAAACGCAGGACGCCATTGGGACTCCACGCTTCCAAGACCCAACCTCCCATAATCACCATTGCCCCACAAGGCTGCGAATCTCTTTCTTCTCGGATGCTCTTCCATCGAAATCCACCTCCTTCCCCAAAACCCTGATCCCAATTTCCCTTTTCTAAGAGATGTCGTTAAATTCGAGAGTCGTACGCAACCTCTCATCATCAAAAACATGGAAGAGCAAATAGAAAAGCGTTCATGAAAAGGTTTTTGATGAAGAGAATTGTCTTTGTTATACACGCACACAAGCAGTTAATGGGCCAAGGAACTGATGGCTCGCACAACTGCAACGTCTCTTGGGTGTGGACTGACCAACGACAGCACATTTCTGTTTACAGACAGAGTCGTCCCGTGTGGCCCGCCAGGAATTTTTTTTTTTTTTGGTTTTAATATATATATATATATATTCAAGCAAACAAAAACCCAAAGTGATTGCTCTTAGGATGATAAAAGCGTCTTTTTTGGTAGTAGAGCTGCCATGCTGTCAATAAAAAACAGATATGTAGTTGGTAATATATTGCCCTTTTTATACTTAAAACTCTTTTAAATTTGTTTGATAATAATATTGGTGAAAATATTTTTATTATTAATTTTACTTTATTAACCCTAGACTAATAAACATGTGTTAATTTCCTAATTTAAATATTTTAAAATTTCATTGAGTTTAATAATTATATGAATATCAACTTGCAATGATTTTTTTTTTTACATATTTTGTTTATTATATAATATTTGTATTTAGTGCTAAAAGATAAATGAATTAAACATATTTAAATGATAAATTCATTTGTATCTGATTTGGGAGTTTCTAGTAATAAAATAAGCAAATTCATTCATATTAAGATTTGCAATATAGACAACACTTCATCAAATAAAACTACACAGTTCAACCACAATTAATAATCATAATACTCGTCAAAATAGCATAATTGTATTATAGTTTTTTTTTTTTTTTTAAAAAAAAAAAAAGGTACAAGTCAGAATTTATTAAAAATTAAATATCTAACAATTATATAATTCAAAAGCTATATGGTCACGAACAATCCCATCTCATTGTCATCGTTAGTGTACATATCATATGAATGTTCATCATTATTATTCCCATCTTCATCATTATTATTCTCTATCTTCATCAGGTGCTAAATCCAAATTCTCATCATAGTGCTAAACATCCTCGTCAACAATAGTTGTCAATCTTATAAAATTATGAATAGACATGGATGAGATAACAATGGCAACTTGTTTTAGAAAACTAAAACTAGGCAATCGTGATTGAATCTGCCATTTTGCTTTCCAAACACCAAAGTTCTTTTGATAACCATTCTCAGAGATAAAGTGAGCCTGATTGAAGAACTTATTAGGGCCCCTTGACTGACTTCCACAATGAAGATCTGAAAAATGGAATCGCTCTCTCTTGTAAGGTGCTAAATATCATTTCCTGTTCGAACATCCTCCATCAACTAGACAATATTTATCTAAGAAAGTAAAATTTTAGAAGATGTTATTTCATACAAAGTCAAATAACTAATGAAATATTAAATACTTTTTTTTTTCAAGAATAGAAAGAATAACTTAGATAGAATTAGTATATACACGAACCTCCTGGGGGTTTTGAAAAATTCAAGTTTGATTTCTTAGTTACCTCCAAAAGAATGCAAGTGTCATGAGCTGCTCCCTCCCAATCAGCTAAGCAAATGTAAATAGCATATTCAAGTCACATACGACCATCACATTTTAAGTACAATACCCTTTCCTTCATATGTATGGAACTTTCTTATCTTCGGGGATAACAGTTTGAATATGTGTCCCATCAATTGCTCCTATACAATCCTAACAACCGATAAATAGTTAATTATTATACAATTAATAATATTAAATTAAATTAATAAAATTCTATAAAGAATTACCTTAAATTGTGGCCAGTATTTTCGATTCTCGCAAATGTATTTAGGAACTTTTAAAATCAGGATTAAGAGGTTTATAAAATCCATAGACATCTTTATGACTGCAACTAACACATCTGTAAAATGTCGACTGCAACTAACACATCTGTAAAATGTCTACTTACAATTTCACCTAAATGTTGAAAACGTTTTTGAATCATTCGGTTAATTACAGTGTGTCCTATAGTCATTAAAAATATAGCTACTTGCTCATGCACGCCAATTTCTGGACTACTTTTCAATTCATCGTACTTTTCCTCCAAAATTTCACAAAGTTTTTTAAAAATAGGCTTTCCAATTCTAAATTATTCATAGCATTGTCTATCATGATTGGCAAGAATTTCCATCAAAAACTTTGAACCTGATTGTTCAGAAGTTCTAGATGGTTCCTTAGAAATAAAATTATTAAAATATGTGATAGATGTAGTAGAATCTGCTACCATAAGAGCGTAGTGTTTAATTAATTATATTTAATCGATTATTTAATTGTTTAATTGATTATGTGGATTTAAATAGTAAATTTGTTTGTGATGTAATCTATTGGCCATGTATTTATCTATTGGTACTTGTGTGATTTAATTGGGTTTAGCCCATAAACCAACTAGATGGGTCTTAGACTATTTGAGTGGGATCCTAAATGGGTTGGATAATGACCCATGAGGATTAGTAGTTATATATATATATATATATATATATATATATATATATATATTATTTTCATTAAAAATAATTATTTATTATATTAGTTACCTAGTTTTAGGTTATCAAACGTATGTTATGGTTAGAACATATGTAGTATATATTTATCTATATATATACATATAGAGTAGATCTAGAAAGACAAAAAGAGAAAGTAGAGAGAAAAAGAGGAAGAGAGAGGAGGAAAAAGAAGAAGAAGGACCATTAGAGAAGAAGAAGTTTAGCTTTCAATCCAAAAGTTTAAGGCAAGTTCTCTGTTCTACACTTCTCCCTTAAATTCGTGATCTATATGTCTCTAGTATAACTTTAGGGATGTTTAAAGGATTATTAAAATCTGAATCCATGTTTGAATTGATCTAAAACATAGGTTTTTATGGGTTTATGTTCATAGTTGTTCTTGTTGTATGAATTGATAAATTCATAGCTTAGATCTAATTTTTAATGGATTTCTATATGCTATAATGATGTGATTTCGTTCTTGGGTGTTGATGGGACTTAGTAACATGTTGTTGGACCCTTAATAATGGAGAACATGGCTTAAAATGGGGTTTCTCAGGCTGTTTCACAAAACAGTTGTGATACCCCCTAATTTCGGAATACGGGTTGATCAGGTCCGCGTACAAAGTCAGGGGATATCAACCAATCAATAATAAACAAGCACAGATGTAATGACCCAGTTATTTGCCTCCCTTTCCTTTTTTCTAAAATTTTACGAATTAATTTTTTTTGTTTAATTTTCTTTTCTGAGCTCTGTTTCGTGTCGCTTAGTGTCATCTCGAGTGCTCGGAATTGGTTTCTGAGACTCTTTCATGTGAATTGACAACTTCCTTTGAGGACCGAGTCATTTTCGTATTTTCACTTTTCGGACACAATGCGCCTTTCGTCTTTTTCCCTGTTTCGTCTTTTTCCCTATTCTGTATTTTCCCCATTTGTCACTTGTTTGGCAAAACCTCACTTTTCATGCTCGGAGTTAGTTTTTGACTTCACGTGCCTTCATGTTGAGTGGTTTCCTCGAAGTACATATCTTTACTTTTGCAAGAAAGTACTCTGGTTGCTCCCGTTATCTATAGGGGCATAGATGCACAATTCCTCAGAATCTTTTTCAATTCTTGGGGTGTTTTTCATAAATATCTTTTGAAGATATTTTATTTCAGGGGTATCTAAGAAAATATCTTTTGGAAGATATTTTCATTCTGGGGTAGTTTCGCAAATAACCCTTTTTGTAGGGGCCATTGTGTAATTAACGAAAGTTATTACAAAATATCTCGTCTGGAGCCTGGATCCTCGTGCGGGATTTATTTTCACATTTCGTAGAGTCATGGACTCTTGGGATTTCCTTCTGGTCGTTTTTCTCCAGTTTCAGAGTTTCTGGACCCAGTTGCCGCCGAACTTGTTCGGGGCATATCTCTTTGGTCGGGACTCGGTTTTCAATGTTGTTTCTTCTATTATTCATATTTTCTCATTTTGAATTTTTTTTGTTCACGGAATTTTTCCGTTTAAGCACGTTTGCTCAAATTCCACTTTTTCGGATTCGACGGGGCCCTTTCGGGGCACTTTTTGAGACTTACTATAAATAGGAGGACTTAAAGTGAAAAATCAAATTTTCACTCATCTTCTCCACCTCTTGGTAGGCAGCCATGGGAGCTCCTGGCTGCCACCCTTTCTCATTTTCCTCTACTTGATTTCCTTGGTAGAAATCCTTCGGCCTTTATATTTATTGTTCCCCTCGACGTGTTCTATCATTCCCCCTTATTAGAATTCATTTCTGACCATTTCTTGAGTTTGGGTTCGAAGTCAAGTTGTGATTTTCATGGGGCTTCCTTCGGATTCATGTAGGTCGTGTTGTCCCCAACAAAACCCTTCGGTTTCGACGAATTCGGGACACTTTTTTTTTAGTGGGGATTTGAGGTTTTCATCTCAAATTGAGGTAGGGGGTGTTATAATTTAAATTCTTGCTATATTACATACTTGTGATGCTTATACAACTTGATTACATGCTTAGATTTCAAAATCTAGAGATTTCATTACTTATTTTTCTTGTGAAGAACTTAATTTTCCCGATTGTCCATGACTTTGTTTAATCATGTGGTATGATAAAATATTACCCCTTGATATGTTGATTGACATATATTAAATCTAGATTATTTGGACAAGAAATGAAGATTTTATTTAATATTTATCTTGAATAAAATATTAAATCATGTGGCCTTATCTAGCTTTAAATCAACATGTGATAGCATATTATATTAGGTCTTAGCATGCTCTTCAACATAGATTAATTTGAGAGTAAATGGTGATGTTTTAAAATCTAGAGAATAATTAATTATTTGATTAATTAATTTATTCCGGGTATACTATTCACCCCATTGGAATTCCGACTTGACATTCATGATTTACATGCCATGTAGCTTCACATATATTAAATCTAAAATATTTGATTAGGTTTTTAGAACTTTTCAATTATTATATTTCTAGTATTAAAGTTTAATACTCAAGGTAGTATCTTGCTTAGAACTTACTTGTATCATGGTTTTAAAACGAGTCTTGACATGTTGTATAACATACTTTAATTTGAGGTCATTTGGATGACTTTTAAAATCTAGAGACTTTAATTAAATGAATTAATTAAAATCCATTCAATGGTTCCATGAGCTAG